ACTAATATATCGGCATATATTTAAATACTAAATCCAAAGTACAATTTAACTACTAAATTTAAATCGGTTAACTCGGCTTCGGACTGTTCGAAATTCTAATACGTAACATGGTGTATTGGTGACAAAATTCCAAGGCGTTGAAGAGGAATTTAGATGTGCTAGATATAAAAATCTCAAAGTATTTAAAATATACATTTTCAGAAAGGGGCTCTTATTACGAACTTTACTAGATAAATAAGTTAAACAATTTCCCAGAAAAAAAACACCAAACGAAGCACTAAATTCAGAAACGATCTATGGAAAAACTGAGAATTAATTTTGTTATCGTTCAATCCTGGTTTTTCTCAAAAGGTGTACGTTACGAATTGCTTCGTTTCATTTGTTTTTTTTAAATGAATGTAACTGATATTTCGAAATCAACGTTAATAAAATAAGGACTTCTGTAATTTTTTTCCAGCTTGAAAACTGGACTTTGTAAGTTGTCATGAAGTGGTGTGTTTAAAAATAACAAACTTTCAGAATTATTAAGTACGCAGTTAGACCTAAGCTGGAAGATATACCCTTGTAGGAGCACGCAGTTAAGCCTAAGCTGGAAGACATACCCTTGTAGGAGCACGCAGTTAGGCCTAAGCTGGAAGACATACCCTTGTAGGAGCAAATCAAAATGACATTTTCTCGTTAATTACGAAGAATGGATCACGCCCACTAATTCTAGGAGGGTTGATGCATATTTATTTTCTACTTTTGCATGTAAATTAACCCTAGATGATGCAAAGTGTTAATATGATGACAACTTAGATGGTTAAAATATATTCTAACTTTTCATGACATTCGAGTTGATTTTTGCGGAGATAACAGCAACAAGTAACGAAGTATTAAATCATATCAGTTCGAAACACCAAAGAGCGAGAACTCGTTTGAAGATTTGACCATCGTATGCGATGCATATTTTGTAGTTACTTAAGATTATATATTTCTCAAACTCCTACCTTGGAATCGGTAAATATATTTCTCAAACTCCTACCTTGGAATCGGTAAATATATTCTCCGCATGATTGATTTTAAATGTTTTTTGTATTAATTTCTCTATCAGTTTAATTATGTAAGAATATATGTGAAGTATTGAAAATGTTTACTGGCCGTTATATGTTCTTTCCGATAGATAAAATATGTATATAGATTCCAAATAATATCGAAACAGTTATTCACAAAGTAAGTTGCTGTACTGGTCAAGAAGAAAATATCATTTGAAATACTAATCTAAAACACACCAAAGCACAATGTCAGGTACAACATATCAAGATCAAGTTACAATATCGAAACATTGCGGATTTGTTTTGTGTAGTCGTAGAACAGTCAATGGGTGTTCTCGTCTTTATTTAAACTGTTGACCAGGTGAATTATGATGTACATATTTGGAGCTTCAAATAATAACCATAATAACCAGGGAGCTATTTGGAGTGGTCAGTTCTCCTATTTTGATTTGGAAAATGAATCAGGACGTGAACAAATCTTTTAAAGTTATACGCCCGCTGCCTTAAAGCTAAGCCACTAGCGGGTTCCAAAGGAGAGACAACTTAAAGCAGTTCCATTATTTCTTCGTTTAATTGAAATTGTATCCAAAAACGTTGCAAGTTTAGGTAGCTAAACCAAACTAAAATACAAGATATTACGAACGTATCCCTGTCTAAAGAGGTATCCGAAAAAAGTTTAACCTATACAGTGGGGGTATAAATATTTCATGAAGTTCATTTTCTATTCTCGGTGGATATGGATACTCGTGTTTAAAGCGTTCGACAAGCAATGAACAGAGTCGCCGAGGACCATCAGGTGCTCTGAGGAAGAATTAGTTTGCCCCCCCCCCTCCACGAACACCTTTGTTAAGAATGATGTTGCGTACTGGTATAAGTGATTGAAGGCGCTAATGATGTTTGCTTTAACATTCTATACACATTTTTTGTCGTTCTCATGTGGGAAGTGAGCCCCAGGGATATATCCACAGCCTCTCGGTGGACCTGCCAATGACTGTGTGCAACTGATCCTGGAAATCTAACGAGACAGAAATGAAATAATTAATAAACGGCACAGGTTTTATTAATCAGACTATTGAAGATGGATTCCTGGGGGTGATGCAAAAAAATGCCGAGATTGGTTTCCAGCTTTCATCAATGTCACATAGCGGTATAAAAGAATATGATTAACCCTAAGATGCTACGTTAGTAACGAAATAAAACATATTGAATATCAACTGTCACGCATTAGAAAACATGAATTTATTACAATTCTAAGAGCTTCCCATTGAATCAGCGATAAATTTTAGAGCTTATACTACCAAAATTTCAAGTTTGATACCTAGAGCAGACATATCGCAGACAACCCTTTGAGTGGCTTTGAGTTAAAACTAACAAAGAATTTACGATATAGTACAAATAAAAAAAAGCACCTTCAATAATGCTTATTATATATCAAACTACATGAAGCTCAATATTACCTTTTCGTCACTATCTAGAACTCGTATTCTCCAAAATCCAGAAATGCCTGGCATTCCTTTCACAATGGAGCATTGGAGTAGCTGCGAGTGTCGTATTTTAATCATACTTGAAACCGCTGGTAGCGACACCATACGGCTGTACTTGATATTTGCTTGCCGAATTGCATCTTCCACGCTCATTAATGGTGATAACGTCACAGTGACATCAAAGAAAGGCGCAGAACCCGGATCCGTGAGTATTTGGACACGTACTCCTGCCTGTAGTTACAATGTTAATAAGTTAACTTAGATATGTTACACCACAACTTACCTAATATCAAGTTCCCCGAGGATTTAACTTAGATATGTTAAGCCTCAACTAATCTAGGATCAAGTTAGTTCTGTTACGTCGTCAACTTACCAAATTGGAAATGCCATTCAATATGGCGGAGTAATATATTGGTGTAGAAAGTTTAAATACAGTGAAATGAATTACTTAAAATTAACTACAGGTAAAATAAACTGAAAACTGGACAACTAAAACAACAAGGACAGTAACAAGATGAACAAAAACAAGGAGTAACAACAATAAAAATACTGATTGAACAAGAACTGTAACAGCAAAAAGAACAAGCCAGCAAGTTTAGGCCAGAAAGAAGAAAAAGATGCAGTCTTCATTCTGAATATATATATATATATATATATATATATAAACCACAATAAGTGACGCCAAAGAAACAATCATTTGTTTGTTTTCGCCAATTTTTACTTTTTCGTCCGATGAGATTCTGACGCTTCAACTGTTTGGGGTTTTAGTGACAAAAGAAAAACATATTTTAGGAGGAGAATCAGACAATGAAAGTTCTACACATGACATCTAGAGTGGTAATTACATGTACACTGTCTTCCAGAACCACAATCAACGCCTCATTAAAGCGAAGTTCTTATATCAATGGATTTGTTTCAAACTATTGGCTGTCAACAATGGATTTGTTTCAAACTATTGGCTATCAACAATGGATTTGTTTCAAACTATTGGCTATCAACAATGGATTTGTTTCAAACTATTGGCTATCAACATGGGTAAAACAAATAAAAGGACCATGTCACTTACAAGATGGTTAAATATAATTTTTACTTCATTTTGATCCTGGTAATATTTTTAAATCTATAAGGAAGTTCATGTGTTCCAATATTAGAATTTTTAACGGTAGAGATTTTCGGTAAGGATTAATATGTGGTTTCCATCGGTAGTAAACGGTATAAAAACAGGTCGCTAATTTGAGGGTTGTCTAATTTTTAGTAGAAGAAATAAAAAAAAATGATTACACTTCTTGAAAATTTTAAACATTAATGTCCATGAAAAATATTAGCATATACATTTCCGCTTTCTCAGAATTTAGGATTAAAGGTTTTTCTATTGATTAATGCTTGTTTTGTTTATTCAGTTAAAGGGGAGCTCTCTTTCAGGTACGATTTACTTATTCAAAGGCTTGCTAAAATCTCATCCATCTATTGGCTGTTACGCTGAATACTAAGAAATTATCAATTTCAAGCCAAATTTATCAGAGTTTCGGTAAATTAGGTACGAGGATGAAGTTGTGTGAAAAACTAGCGAGTCATATCAGTTTCTGAAATCGCTATTATAGAATGTTTTTACATAAATGATAATAAAATTATCTTTCAGAAAATACCTTTTTAGAACGTTAAAAAGATCTACCGTCAGGAAAAAGAAAGTTTCATTGTCTTTTAAAATGAGATACGCTTGTTTCAGACGAACTCTTTCAAACTTTGTAATATTAGATTAGGTGAAACTTCGGTTTCATTCCGAGTTATTTAGTAAACAATCCATTTTTCTGAACTTTACCTATAATGATAATAATTTTGCACACGTCTTTAAAAGGTATTAGGTTATTGACGGAAAACACGTGGTTTATAAAGAATTAAGACTCTTTGAATGGTGGCTAGATGGTCGAATTCTTATCTCGTGAATGTCAGTTTTTCTTTTTCTAATCAAGTCTTTGATATTATAATTCTTGAAACAGCTGTATGTTAATTTCTAAAATTTGCATAAATATGATATTTTATTTAATGAAACCAATTTTATAGGTGGTAATGGTGACTTTCGTTCGTTGTCCGGTATTTTTTTTTGTTTTTTTTTATTTCAATATAATTACAGAAACACGTTGGTAAGAGCTCTACAGAAACACACCGATAACAACTCCATGAAGATCCACGCTGGAAGCTCAAAACGTCTTCCAAAACTTCCAAGACAGATACGGTACAGTAACGGTAACAATAAAGATTATTTGATAAAATTACAATCTCAGCAAATTGTAGAAAACAAAAAAAACCTTTCTAGAACATATGTTACCACGAACCTGAGAATAAGTAGGCGATGGAACAAAAGAATAAAAAAAAAGTGATTCGACGAAATTGGTTATTAGGGGAAATTAATGGGTTTAAAATTTAAAAACGAACATATTTTTTTTAATTGTTATTTTGCTCAAAAAAGTCGTTAATTACAGAAGATTTACACACACACACAAATATAAAATACATTAAATAAGTCAAATTATTAAAAACTTGCAAGGTATCAAATTTTAATACTAGTAATAAACGACCTTATAACACCAAATTGATATTGTTGCGTCAGCGAGGTCAAGTGACTAGTATCACGCCACGTCCTTCTCGAACCTTCATAAATTATCGGGAGACTACTAGATTGGGGGTAGTCTGGTATATACAAGACGGTCACAACGTGACGGAACAACAGTGTAATGAGTAATTGAATGTATGCGGACAGAATATTGTTGGCCACGTGAGACGCGAGTTATCGCGTTTGTTATAGAGCGATTGTTGAAATTAAGTGTATCGTAAAGTTGTATTCGGAAAGAATAAACCAGTTTTATTTAAGAAAGGACTTGTGTCGCTAAAGTTTAGTCGGAAAGAAGTTACGGAAAATTAACTAACGAACGGAGACGTAACAATATTTTTTTTAATTTAACTGTACACTCAACGTTTCACTTTTCAGTTTCTTCAGAAGCGTTCCATTAAAACAAGCCGTAACTGACAGTAGAAAGCTTCAAATGGTTTAAACAATTTGATGTTATAAGGTCGTCTCTCTATAGCGTTAAAATGTCTTCTGTACACCAATAATGAAAGTATCAAATTTATTTAAATCTGTAGATATGGAACAAGAAAAACAAACTATACTAAGTCAACTGACACGTTACTCCAGTAGCTCATTGGAATTCTGATTTTTGAGGTTGTCTTTGAATTCCAAGATTCTCTATTTGAGATCAAAAGGTATTTTTCAAATCTATTTTGTTAATAGTGCTATTGAAAAGTATTAAAACCTACCGGTGGTGGCGCTGTCCTTAAATGAGAAAAAAACGTGTTGTCCGGTCGTCTCGGTAGCTTTCGGAAAGGCCTCAAACGAAATGATGGTGGGGGTATTGGGAGAAGGTGGCCATGTTTAGGAATAAATAGGTTTTCTGAAGTTGAAATATCTTCTCCGCGTTCTTGAAGCGACCCCTACAAGGTAGATATCTTATAAAATCCAGTGTCTGTTTTATAATAACACTTAGTTGTTTTTTTTTCTTTCACAATAATGTTTGGGTTTAATTTCGTCACTTGATCGTTCTACAGTCATAGTCATAGCTTAACTCATTCACTTACTTGTTAGTTTTAGTCGTACTCTAATTCGTCGACTTAGTTATACGCTTAACTCGTTAGTTTTAGTCGTACTCTAATTCGTCGACTTAGTTATACGCTTAACTCGTTAGTTTTAGTCGTACTCGAATTCGTCGACTTAGTTATACGCTTAACTCGTTAGTTTTAGTCGTACTCGAATTCGTCGACTTAGTTATACGCTTAACTCGTTAGTTTTAGTCGTACTCGAATTCGTCGACTTAGTTATACGCTTAACTCGTTAGTTTTAGTCGTACTCGAATTC